TAATAAAAAGCTGAGGAGAATTTCCTGTGTGGAAATTAACTTAAATATGTGGAAATTAACTTAAATATTCTCTATAAATAGAGAAATGATCAAGTTTATGTGAGTGTTTATAAACATGTCATAGTTGAGCAGAATGACTACTGGGAGAGAACTTAGAAGGCAAACTTCACAGGCGAGATCCCGAGGGGCTGAAACTAGGTGTGGACCACGCTCCCTTGCTTACTTTGTTGGTAGTTAAAAAGATTCTTATTTGACTCATATATAAAGCATTTTACATACTACTTAGCACAAGACTGAAAAGGTGATACAGCAGGAAAAGTAAGACTCACTCATGCTTTTGCTCCACTGCCCGGGGTGCTAGCCCAGAGCCTCTTACCATTTTCCTGGGTCCTTCTGTAGTCTCTTTTTCTGTTCCTTTCCTTCTCATTTTATGTAGTTTTTGCCATAGTGTGCCTTGCCTATAGAATAGTGGAAGGAAGTGTTCTGAACTATTTACAGGAGGCTAAGCTAACCTATGATGTGTGGTATATTAAGTGTATTTCTAATTTATGAAGCTTACAGTTTACAAAGGACTTGTTGGGAGTGCCACCTTCATAATAAGTTGAGAACTCACTATTTGTATGATATGTATGTGGATTCACTATTTGTATGATATAAATTCCCTCTTCAGTCCTCAGTCTAACATTCTACCCTTTTACCGAAAGTACAGTTTCAGAGAAGTTAAACGTTAGTTTACTTAGTAATTGGCAGTCAGGATAACAAAGTAGACAAAGTGATTCAGAGCTGCTGTTTTTTTACTCATCTCTGGTGCTCATTATATTATCCTAGGCAACCAGCACATTATTGTAAGGCACATAAACATTCTTTAAATATCTATGCAAGTTATATACTGCTTTGTTAGGAATATGACCAATAAGGGTAGTTTTGTTGTAAATTGAGACAAATACATTGAACATTAGATTCGATACCATAGTAAGATCTATTGTAATGGGCCAAAATATGTTCTTAGAAGTTTAAAAGTTGTACTAATTTGAGAAGTAATTGAAATATTTAAAGACAAATTGGGCAGATGTTTTAAAAATATGTAATTGAAGTTGAACCTAGCATATAGATCAGGCTTTGGCTAAAAATAAGAGAGCAGGACAAGCTGAAGATTAGACAAGAATCAAGACTAACAGACTGGAAGTTTACTGACAGAAGATAGAGGGGAAAACCAGGGTCCTCATGTGGATTTAAACAGGAAAGGAATGTAATTCTGTCTCCTTCAGAGAATTCGTCTAGTGCTATTGCAGAGCTTAATAGTAGAAAAAATTTAAGGCTTTAGACACTGAGAAGTATTTAACCTCATCAAAAACAAATCAATTAGAGGCGTTTCAGAGGAAAACACACGGCAAGTGGGTCTCACCTAATCTGTGTGATGTGCTACTCCACAGACTCTTGACGGCTTTTCTACTGACCTACTAAATTTTCTTTCCTGAGTGTCTTTTAAAATAATAGACTATATGGCATAATACCTTCATTAGAAGACCCTGCGTTACACTAGAAGACTTGGCTCTGTGGCTTTTACTTATGATAGTCTTGCGTCTGTCCCAGTCTGTCTATCTTTTATCGACAGTGCTGCCGCCAGGGTTGCCTTTGCTCTCCTGCAGTCTGCCCCCTTCGCTGGAGGAACTTTGAACAGGCTCGAGTACTTTCACTGTGGCACCTTCTCTTCTTCCAGTCGAGGTCCCCCTGCTCCTGTGGCAGTGCTCACTGTTAGCTGTACCAGAGGAACTGTGGTTAGGTTGGGACAAGGTGGGCAAAAAGTAATTACTGGATATTTAGTTTCCTCTTCGTCAGGAAGAGCTTCTCTTTGAGTTATATTCTGGTACTGGTTTTTGAACTTGTAGTACATAGGCCTGGAACTGATGTCTAAAGCCTGTGTGAGTTCCCAATAGGAGCTATGCAGGGACTCCTAACAGAAAAGCAAGATGCTATTTACATGGGTCTGCAAACAAATCTCATTTATAAGCATTCAGTCTCAATTGTTTCTATGTAGTGATTATTTATTTTTAAAGATTCATTTCTTTTTATTTTATGTATATGAGTGTTTTGCCTGCATCTAAGTAAGTGTAACACATGCATACAGTGTTCACTGAGGTGTCTAAATCCCAGACTTGAGCCAGAGACAGTTGTAAGCTGCTCTGTGGGTGCTGGTAACCAAAGCTAGGCCCTTTTCAAGAGCAGCAAGTTCTCTTAACCGCAGAACCATCTCTCCAGCTTCATAAACTTTTAATTTATTTGTAATTTTTATTTTTTGAAATTATAATATATCATTTACCTCCTTTATTTTTCCAGCCCTTCCAACGTACCGCCCCCCTGCAACCTTGCACTATCTCGAAATAATGAACACCTTTTCTTTGTTATTATACACACACGCATACATTCCTAAAGATACAGATACAACTTGCTCACTCTGTATAATGTTACCTGTATGGATTTTGATCTCAGTGCTTATCCTAGATGCCCCAACTCTACCAGTGAAAGCTATACTATTCTCCCTTCCCAGAGAGATCCCCTTGATCCCTCCTTGTTATTTAGCCTCTCTGGGTTTGTGGATTGTAGCGTCATTATCCTTACTTTACAGCTAATATTCACTTACAAGTGAGTACATACCATGTTTGTCTTTCTGGGTCTGGGTTACCTCACTCAGGATGAGTTTTTTTCTAGTTCCATCCATTTGCCTGCAAATTTCATGATGCCATTGTTTTTAATAGCTGAGTAATACTCCACTGTGTAAGTGTATCACATTTTCTTTATCCATTCTTCGGTTGAGGGACATCTAGGTTGTTTCTAGTTTCTGATTATTATGAATAAAGTTATGACCATAGTTAAGCAAGTGTCCTTGTGGTAGGATGGGGTGTCCTTTGGGTTTATGCCTAAGAGTGTTATATATAGTTGGTTCTTGAGGTAGATTGATTATATCTTACACCTGTCAGAATGACTAAGGTCAAGAGCACAAGTGACAGCCCATGCTGACTAGGCTGTGGAGCAAGGGGAACACTCCACCTTTGCTGGTGGGAGTGCTAACTTGTATAACCACTTTGGAAATCAATATGGTTGTTCCTCAGAAAACTGGGACTTGATATATAATGTTATACATTTACAAATACTGTGTTATGTTTTAATAATACATACATAGTATAATGTTCAAATCAGAGTAATGTATTCAATCTTAATCAATTGCCATTTCCTTTTGGTGAAAACATTCAAGATCCTTGTGTTTTTGTTTTATTTTGTTTTGCAACATATATTCATTATTGTTTTCTGTTGTCACTTTACCATACAGTAGAACATCGAAACTCATTACTCCTGCTTACTCTTAATTTAGTAACTGGGATGCTAGGCTCTACTTAGGCCTTTTTAAAAGATTTTTTTTTTTTTACTTAGAATCTGATCCTAGTTTAGGTAATTATTTTTGCCATTCTTATGCTTTGTGTTTAAATATTTAAAACTGAACATTCCACTTGATTTATATCAGTTGGAAGTTGATTTTTAGAGCCATTGAGAACTTTGTGACATTTAATAGATGGAATCTACTTTCTTTATTATGAATGTGTTATTAGTTTGCGACATTATTTGTTCTCTTTTTCTTTTCCCCTAGTACAGACACACTTTTAAAGTTGAGCTGTTAGTGGGCCGCATGATGATAAAGCCATTGTTCTTTTTTTAACTTTAAGCTGTGTGTCTGGCACCTTTCTTTCATTTGGCTCTCTTGTGTATGTTTTATGGTCATTTTTTCCCTCCTCACCTTTAATGTGCTGCTTTTTTAGAGTATACACCAAGGACCTTCATTTCTTGAGTGTTTGACAATTTTAATTTATTCTCTACACAAATGCATCATCACCAGGGGATATATGATTTAAATCTATTTGACACAGACTCGTGATGTGCCATTTGCCCACTTTTTATGGACTACTCTTTAATAGTCACTTTTGTATAATTAGTATATGAATCATGATCAGTAACTAGACTGTTATTACATATGGTGGAAAGGATGCTCAGCGGGAATTTTATTGTATTCTCTTAAATACTATCCTCCCGTTAGTACTATATAAATGCAACCCTATGAGATTAATTTTACTAGTGTAAAACAAGGAACCCCAGCCTATTTCATGTTTGTTTTTTGTGTGCATGTATATGCATGTGTGCATTTTTATTTATATTTTGAATATAGGTCCTTTGTAGCCAATTGCTTGCGAGTGTGGTTTAATGTATTCATTTGGTACAGAAGTATACAAAGAATGTGAATCATGAGAACAAAATTAATTTAAAAATTTGATTGCAGAATAGCTAGGCAGATAAATAGTTTCTTAGGGGACTTTATGTAATATGACTTTTTATGATCTAGTATTTCTGCTGCCATTAAGTGGAATAGTGGAGTGCACAGGGGAAATCTGGAGGAGCTTTTAACAATCCTGGATGAAAGCAAAGAGTCCATTTTCATTTCCTTGTCTTTCATTGTAGAGGATTTGTGGATGACTGGGCTAAGTCCCATCTCTCTTGGTGTGTCTCAGTTACCAGAGAGGTAAAGATAAGCTCTGGAACACAGCAGCTCCTGATTTCTCTTCCAGGGAACTTACTCTTCTGTGAGTGACGCCGGTTTAATTTTAAAAGCTTAAGGAGAAGGATAGCATTCTTCAGCTCACTCCACTGATAAACTCAATCACATAATACTAGTTATAAGAGAGATCTGTTTATGTCTTTGTTTTTTCCATTCGGAGTCTGACCTTGAACTGGCTGTGTAGCCAAGGATGACATTTAACTCCTGGTCCTCCTACCTCTCCTCCCCAAATACTGGGATTACAGTGGGCACTGCCATACTTGGCTAAGACCTATGTTTCTTTGCACTCTGAAATCACGTATACACACACATGCACATGTACAGGCATTCATGTGCGCACACACACGCACATAGACACACACATACTACCACAAACTGTAACTTTTTGTCCCTTTAGAGGTGAAGATGATATCAATGATGTGACTTGCATGGCAGAGGTCAACCTTGATGAAGAAAATGCCTGCATCTTAGCAACACATTCTGAATTTGTTGGCACACTTATTCAGTCATGTAAAGAAGAACCATTTCTTTTCATTGGAGCTCTACAAAAGAGAATTTTAGACATTGGTAAGTATAGAATCATGATTATTGACCTGATAGGAATGTTTGTTGAGGGGAAATTTTATCTAAAGACATGGCCAGACTCTAAGGATTAGGTAAGGCTCTAGAAATATTCTGAGATTTCCTGAGTATTACAGAATGAAGCATTTTATTTTAAAAATAATTGCTTCAGCCTTTTGTTTCTGGGATAGATAATAGAAGTTAATATTTTTTTCTTTTTTTATGATTGAGTAATAGAGATACATATTTCACATGAATATGTGTACTTTTAAAAAAAATCTTATTCCTTATTGGTTCTTAGTAATGTGTGTATACAAATGGAAGTTATTATTAAATGTTATATTTGTAAATTATAGGAATATGTAATAAGAACCAATCCCATTTTCCTTCTGTCAACCCTAAAGTTTAATTCCACTCTTACTGTAGAAGAAAACTGAGCTACAATATTAAGATTTTTCTGTAGGTACAGGGTGATTTTTTAGGTGGCTGCAGTGAATTTAAGAAAACGGAAGAGAATGTACTCTTCTTTGGAGCCAGATTTCGGTATCTTGTGAAAGACTATATGACCCCATATTAAGTGGAATGAGAGACAGATAAGAGATTTTGTATGAATTATACCACATTTGGTCTATTTCACAATTAATAAATGAGTACTTTAGCTGTGATATGTTGATCACTTTTATAATTTAAATTAAGGCCATGTTATCTTTTTTTGTGAGCAACTATGATTAATAATAGTTTTTCCTGGCTAGGTTTTTGTCAGTTAGACACAAGCTAGATTTTCTGGGAAGAGGAGCCTCTGTTGAGAAAATGCTGTCATCTGTTTGCCTGTAGTGCCATGTTATCCAGAGCATTGGCTCAATTCTCTTCCCTCCCACATACTTTATCCAGTTTGATTTAAATCTTTATATTAAGTGACATATTTTTAAAATTAAATATTATTTTTAATTCTGTATATCTATGTGTCCTGTGTATGGTATATTCACTAGTGTGAGGGTGCCTACAGTGGTCAGACATGTAGAGTCCTCCTAGAGCTGGAGTTACTGGTGATTGTGAGCTTTACAGTGTGGGTGTTAGGAACTCCATTGAATCCTCTGCAAGTGCAGTGTGTTCCTAACTACTGAGCCATCTTTTGATCTCTGTATGATCATTTTCTTACAATTTGAAGACATCGTAAGATAGTAATCAGCAGCTTTTTTCCACATAGGGACAGATGGTATTTGCCACTTGGTGGCCTGTGATCTCTGTCACAGATGTTCAACTCCCTTGTTCCAGGTGGGAAGCAAACATGAGCAACATAAGAACAAGTGAGCAGGACTGTATCTTACTGGGTTCCGGCTTCCATAACAAAATACCATAGCCTTGACAGCTTTGGTGACATGTACTTACTGTCACAGTTCTGGAGTGGGGACCTCAGATCTGGATGCTCATCAGGATTTCTGGCCAGGGCCTCCTTGATGATCTTTGGACAGCTCTCTATGTGATCTACTATGTGATCCCTCATGTGATCTACTCTTACCTCAGTTCTTATGATTAATTATTCCCAAAAGGCCACACTCTAGTTGTCATAACCAAGTCACGGACAGAATTTCTGCTTGCATTTTGAGGGAGAAACAAGCTTTTAATCCATTGGTTGGATTCCTATAAAACTTTGTACTTAAAAAGAGATGAGTTTTGACCTGTTAGCTGTAGTTTGGCAACCCTGTTTTAGGGGAATTTGAGAAACTATTTGTGCTTTCAGTTCTTAATGATGAAACACAAACAATATAATAATACAAAATGTTAACTGCAAAAATTCTCTGAATTATCTAAGCTTTAAGGAAACAGCCAAGGGGTGAATATTCATTTGTTTCTAGAGATGTTTTCGGTTTATGATAAAATTCCTTCCTACAGAATAATTACCAACTGAGGGCATTCCTAAAAATAGAAATTACACATTTTCCAAAAGAATTTTTTAGACATAATATTTTCCTGTGTGAAAATTGGCTTAAATGTCAGTATTCTTTATTTTCCCTTAATTACCTAAATTAAATTGCAGACATTCAATAAAGTCAATAGTAAGCAGGCAAGTACTAACTAGCTCTCCTTAATCAATTATGTTGGCTTTGTTTTAAAGTATTAAAAGTGGGAATTAATCTATAGTTTTTAACTTGTGTTTTAAGATTTGTTGCTTAGTGAAGATACATTTGAACATTTGCTATTGCATATACTCAGGAATTATAAACACTTGTTCATTTCTAATGCTTCAAAAATATTACAGATTTTTAAAAACAAATACCAGGGTTTTTTTTTTTTTAATCTGTTTCACTGAGCATCAAGTCCAGAGCCTTCTATTACAGTATAGCTTTTCAAATAAATTACTTCTGTTTTATAAGTACATAGTTATTTTCAAATTCCTATTCCCCAAGAACTGATTTTGAATGCTCCTTTTTTTAAATTTAATCTTAAAATAACTTGACTTCCCCTGCCTACCTTATGTTTAGTTGTGATTTATATTTATTTTTTAAGTTTGTATATGTGTGTATGTCTGTGAGTATCTGCATGTGAGTGCTGGTGCACTTGGAGGTGGCTGGAGTTACAGGTTGTGAGTCACCTTCAAGTGTGCTAGAAATTGAATTCAGGTCCTGGAAGAGAGTTGCACATGCTCTTAGTTACTAAGCTGTCTTTCCAACCTATGTTCAGTTATAATTTTAGCCATTTGATTGTTTTGAAATTGTGCTGTTCCTCGTATAGAAGGCCCAACTAATTGTTTATGTTGAGTGTTTAGAAGTAGTTGTGAATTTGTAGTGGGTTTTTCTTTTCCCTTCGTTTCATTCTGAAATTGAAAATGAGCTCAATTTGCCACAAAGTAATGAATTACATTTTGAAGGCTTAGTTTAAAAGTCAGATAATTGTAAATCGTCTCCCTACTTAGTTTACTTAGACTACATTTTAAATCGAAATTTATTTTGTGGTAATGTCAAAGTATATTTGACTTGTAATTAAATTGTGATTTTTACTGTAGTTGAGCCTTTGATGAGAATATGAGTATGTATGTATTATGTGAATTAGCATATAAAAATCAAACAATATTTTAAAATTACTGTGAATATATGTGTGTGTGTGTGTGTGTGTGTGTGTGTGTGTGTGTGTGTTTTAAAACAAGAGACCTGGGGAAATAGCTCAGTGGATAAAACACTTGCCCTGCAAGTAAGAGGACTGGATCCCTAGCACTCCACACACATGCGAATACCACAACCCCGACAGGAGCCTTTAAATCCGTCTACCTTCCATTACTTAGCTGCCTGTATCTGTGGGTTTGCCATCTGCTGGTACAGATAGTTCTGCTGTCCCTAAGAAACACTGTTTGAGTGCTGATAGGATTGTTTGTAAGTGAGCTGCTGCTCCTGTTGGTCACTCAAATTCTTTTCCTAAAACTTCCTTTCCTATTACAACCTGGATAAAACAATTTGTTCATAAAAGAAGCAAGTTATTGAAGTTGATGCTGAAATGAAGAGGTTTTGAGCCTATTTCAACTTGTAATTTAATAGGTTAATTTATGAAAATGTGAGTAGTGCAAAATATAATTGGAAACAGAAAAAGAATATAGGTTTTTTTATAGACAAGGAATTAAAAGATTTATAATTTCAGTTCACTGAAATAAATGTCATGAATTGTTAACAGTGTCAAACAGGATAAAATGTGACTTTCCATTTTTTTTAATTACTAAAATTAACAGAATATAGCACTAATTTCTGCAGTTACCATTTTCCTCCCTGAACACTAAACTTGATTTGTGTTCTTATTAACTTTGTCCTATAAATGACCTTGCAAGGAGAATGATTCTAGAGGCTAAGGGAAACAATGTCTATATTTTCTGAGGCTCCAGGCTAGGTTTTATTAATGTAATGTCTAAGATCTTTGAAGTTGTGACTTTACCAGGAAAATCATAATCTCCAAACCTTTATTCATAATGGGTATGACTTCCAGGGGGAACTGAATACCTGCTGTGCTAATTATTTCAATTATAAGCCACTACTAAAACATGTAATGGATTTTCTCTGCCTCCACAGGTAAGAAGCATGACATTACGGAACTTAACTCTGATGCTGTGAACTTGATCTCCCATGCAACACAGGAGAGATTACGAGGCCTTCTAGAGAAACTGACTACGATTGCTCAGCATCGAATGACTGTTTACAAGGTAAAGGAAATCATTAAGGAAGTACAGACTGTCAACTCCTGAGCAGTGTTTAAAGTAGTTTCATGGACAAGGGTCCATATCTGGATGTATTTTTAGAAGAATGACTGAGACTTATATTTCATGTAAGTAGGAAAACAGTTCCCTTAATTGCTTTACTTGAATATGCTTACATAGTAAGTCAAATTAAAATAGGATTTGAAGTAGTGTCCAAAGTAGGTTTTTGTTGCATATCGGCATATGCACCTGTTTGACCTGAGGTGGCTCCTCAAGGCTTGAATAGGAAGGAGGTTGTGTTAGGATGGAATATGGGTTGTGTGTTCTCTTTGGTGGTCTGAACGCTGCTAGATACGGACTTTAGTTACATGATGACAGTGAGTGCTGATACTAGTGTCACTCACTGCTGTTCTGGGCTCTTGTTGTGAAAGACTAAATGCAAGAATAACCTGTCTAATTCCTAGTGGTGTAACAAAATGACTTGCTGTTACCAAGACGAAGGCACTTAGTGTATTTGAATTGTAGTTTTTATTGCTTCTTGGCCTTTAGGGTATGATCAATTGTGAATTGTATTTTTAGAGGCGGGCAAATAACTGAATGATTATGGATTTTAAGAAAAGACAATGGGATGAAAAGGAATAACCCTTTTCTTTATTAAAAAATTGTTGAGCGCTAGATTTCCAACGTGTTGGTAAATAGGTAACTTCATGAGGTTTTTAAGTTTGCAATAGGATCATTCATTGCCACAGCTTCATAGCCAGCCATACAGATGAAAGGAATCCAGAATATCTGCTGCTTGCTGTCTCCCTAGTAAGCCGGCTGGAGAAACCATCTTACTTGCATCTGCTTCATTTGAATTTTCGAAGACCTATAGCTATTAAGGTCCTTACTTTCAAAATTTTTTTGTGAATTTTTCAGACTGACTTAAACAATCTGCAATCGGCATCATAAAAAGCTGTAGAAAACAATGTCAGTATTCCATTTTATGTGAGTCTAGGAATTTGTCCATTTTGTGGCTTCTCTATTACTTATGTCAGTTCAGTAGGTGCTAGTAGTTGTACCTTTGTTTCTGATTCTTGGGTCTTCCCTTTTTTTTTCTTCGTTACTCTATCTAATGGCTTCCCTATTTTATTAGTCATTACAAAGAACCAGACATTTTGGTTTCTCTGATGATAGCCAAGCAAGATAGCAGAATATCATTAGGAGTCACTTTATCACTTTTTTTTTTTTTTTTTTTTTTTTTTTTTTTTTTTTTTTTTTTTTTTTTTTTTGGTTTTTCGAGACAGGGTTTCTCTGTGTAGCTTTGCGCCTTTCCTGGAACTCACTTGGTAGCCCAGGCTGGCCTCGAACTCACAGAGATCCGCCTGGCTCTGCCTCACTTTTTTTTTTTTTAAGGCCAGTAGTATTTGGCTTTACCCCAAGTCACTGGGCTATCTAGTCTCTGGTTTTTGGTCACCCAAGCAGTGTTTGGGTACGGGTTTCATCTCATGGAGTGATCCTTAAGTCAAATCATAGAACATTCCAAATTTTAAAAGTTGTACAGCCTTTAAAAGAGCCCATCACTCAGAAGTCTAACTTTTCTTTTAAAGTCCCAAAACTCTCATCTGTAGGCTCCTATAGAATAAAAAAATAAATTATATACTTTCTTACTTTGAGAGGAAAGAGCCAGAGCACAGTTACAATCAAAGCAAAGCCCAAGTCCCTAAGTATAAATGGCTCAGTGTGACCATTTGATCTTCTGGGCTCCAAAGGCTTTCCTTTCTCCAGCTCTCCTCCACAGCTGCCACTGTCTTCTGTTGTCATTGTGTGGTCCTGGCATCTCCCAGAGGCTCCATGGGGGCTCCATGGGCAGCTCCTCCATCAGTGGCCTCCTGGACTGTCTTCAGAGACTGACCTTGCCACATGTTACCAGTGGTCTTTCTCCGTGACCCCTGGGGTCTCCATTGCAACTGAGACTCTACCTTTACTAGTGGCTTCTCCTGGCATCTTTTTAGGGACACCAGCCCTTGTATACAGACCTTTTTACTCTGTGACCCTTCATGCCTGAATGTTACACACACATTATCAAGTTTGGCTGTCAGCATGAGACACCACCTTGGCCTGCTCTTCTAATCCCAAGGAAATACTCAAAAGATTTCATTTCAGCGTGCTATTCAAAGCTTTTCTACCTTCAGGTAGAATCTTTTTATTGTATCAATTGCATGTGTTACTAGGATTTGATAGCCATAGAAAATGGGTAGTATTTACCTTATCTGGAAGACCTTAATCACTTAGCTTAAGGATAAATACCTTCTTAACTTACCGTTATACCAGTGGCTCTCAACTTATACCAGTGGCTTTCAACTTTCCTAATGCTGTGACCTTTAATATAGTTCCTCATGTTGTGGTGACCCCCAACATAAAATTATTTTTGTTGCTACTTCATAAGTATTATTTTGCTACTGTTATGAATCGTAATATAAATATCGGATATCTAGGATATCTGATCTGCAACCCCTATGAAGGGTTGTTCGACACCCTCAAGGGATCGTGACCGACAGGTTGAGATATTATACATGTACTATTCCTATTGGTTTATCCTTCCCCCTTTTCCCTACATTCATTCTTTAGCATAGCTAGTATTGCTGCCTGAATATCATGTAGAAAGAAAAATTTCCTTTTTTAAGAAATAAAAACCACTTAATTACCTTTGAATTTACTTCAAAACTTACCGTTATTTTATAGACTTTAATTATAATAACAGTATTTTTATCAAAGATTTGGCCTGGCCCTTCTATCTCTTGGGATTTATTTTTATCTGTACAATAAAGGAAATTCTCCTCCACAAACTATTTAAAAACGAGGCACCATTATTAGAAGCAAAAAAATTCCATCATCTTTTCTACTCTAGACATTAGTTACTTTTGAAAATCTTGTACTTGGTTACGTATAATGTTCTAATTAATCATAGGTCATAAACTGAAATTTAAATGAAAAAGAAGTAATCTAGTATGTAGTCTAGTGCTTTATCTATCCTGCTTGGTGATTTTTGTTTGTTTGTTTTCTCGAGACAGGATTTCTCTGTGTAGACCTAGCTGTTCTGGAACTCACTCTGTAGACTAGGCTAGCCTTGAACGCAGAGATCCACCTACCTCTGCCTCCATAGTGCTGGAATTAAAGGTATGCACCACCATTGTCCAGCTCTGCTAGGTGTTTTGTACTGAAGCTGCAGTCTGTGCTGTGGCCATGGAGAAGTTTCCCTCTCCAGCTAAAAGGTACTGTGAGAGTTCCTTGAGATGGGATTCACCTGATGGTGCTAATATCAGTTGAGTCTGGATATCTAGTGGCTTTCATACTTTTGGTACATGAAGTCTTTTAGTTGGTTCACAGAGACAGGAAGGAACATAATAATATTGGGGCTATTTATTACTTAACAGGTGGTAGGGATTAACTTAACTTAAAAGGTGGTAGGGATTCAGTAGGTTAAGGAAAGGCACTCAATTGCTCTAGCTGAAAGAAAAAGGAGAAATTATGCCACAGTCAGTTGTCTCTGAATTGGTAAAGGAAACAGCATGAGAACGTGATATGGTTAAAATTTAGAATGTCTGTGCTTCTTTTTAATTTAGTGTTTATTGTCCCTTTTAAATTAAATTTCTGTCCATAAACTGTCTCCAGAGTTTGTGAACACAGAAATGGTAAAGATGAAGTAGTTAAGAAACCACTGTTATTGTGCTTAACCTCTGTGCTTGGCCTAAAATGTGCTCCACATTTTATCTTGTATTATTTAACTTTAAAGACCACTTGGGAATTCTTGTATTAAACTTTAAGTAAAATAAGTAGCACTAATACATCCTTCTTCCTTAAACCATGTAATACTCTTTTGATCTAGTTAAATGCCAACAATAAAAATTTAATTTAAAAAGAATCTTGGGCATATGAAATCTCTTAGTCTAAGCTAACTGAAGCAGCCATAAGCATGGGATCAAGTGGAGACGGAGGGAGATGGAAATAGTGCGGTGCTGGGTTCCAAGCCAGACGCTTACTGCTGAGCTCAGGCTTTAGTGGGTTTTGGCTGTAAGAGTCTCCCTCAAGTGTTGACTCTGAGATGAGTAGATGGCGGGGTAAGTACTGATTGGTTCAAACCTTTCTGCTTCACCCACAACAACCCACATATATGGATATTTGTATTATAGAGGGAACTAGGTAGCCATAGGTCAAGAAAACTAGAAAATACTTAGATTTGAAAGCACTGTTTTTGTATTCTAGCATACCCAGATAAGTAAGACATTTTTAATTTTGTCATTTTATGGAATACTTAAGATAAGAAATTAGTTTTTTGTTACAGTTTTCATTTATAAAAGTATATGCTTTCCTACTACTTGGGAGGCTAAGGCAGGATGACCTCAAGTTCCAGGACAGCCTGGTCTGTATAGTGAGAACCTGCTTATAAATAGATAAATGATAAGTAAATTATACACAAATTTATTTTGAGTAAAGTTTCTGTCTAAATTTAGATTTCATAAGGGAATCTCCAAACCAGACCTTCTTGTTTTTTTTTTTTTTTTTTTGGTTTTTCGAGACAGGGTTTCTCTGTGTAGCTTTGTGCCTTTCCTGGAACTCACTTGGTAGCCCAGGCTGGCCTCGAACTCACAGAGATCCACCTGGCTCTGCCTCCCGAGTGCTGGGATTAAAGGCGTGCGCCACCACCGCCCGGCTGTTTTTGTTTTTTTGAGACAGGGTTTCTCTGTGTATCTCTGGCTGTCCTGGAAGCTTTGTAGATCAGAGTTGCCTCAACTCAGAGATCCGCCTGCCTCTGCCTCCATAGTGCTGGAATTAAATCGTGTGCCACCATGTGATTTTAATGTCTCCCATTTTATGTTCTATTAGGATAGAAGTGTTTTAGTTTATTTTAGTTAAGATTAAACCAGTCTATCCATGGTAACTCATTTCCTTAGCTGTCCTTTTCAGGGAGGTGATTGTTTCTTGCTTTTCATCTAAGTTTTTTTTTTGGTTTTTCGAGACAGGGTTTCTCTGTGTAGCTTTGTGCCTTTCCTGGGACTCACTTGGTAGCCCAGGCTGGCCTCGAACTCAGAGATCCGCCTGGCTCTGCCTCCCGAGTGCTGGGATTCAAGGCGTGTGCTACCACCGCCCGGCTCATCTAAGATTTAATTACTCATATTTATGTCAGTAGATAGGAAATAATTGACTACAGGAGATTGAATTATAGGTAATGGTATATTCGACTGGATTCTTTTTCCAATGGTTAGCATCGGTTTGATTTAATTCCTTTTGCTGTTTCTGAGTAGTAGGCTTGCTAAGGAAATCTTTCTGAAATGTAAATGCTAATCATCTCTCAAATTTTAAGAACAATTAAAGTTTCTGGCTTTTATTTTGTTTGCTTGTTTGTTTAACAAAATAAAAGAAAAATGTAGGCCGGGCGGTGGTGGCGCACGCCTTTAATCCCAGCACTCGGGAGGCAGAGCCAGGCGGATCTCTGTGAGTTCGAGGCCAGCCTGGGCTACCAAGTGAGTTCCAGGAAAGGCACAAAGCTACACAGGGAAACCCTGTCTCGAAAAAACCAAAAAAAAAAACCAAAAAAAAAAAAAAAAAAAAAAAAAAGAAAAATGTAGTTCCCTTGGTGTGTTGAAGTTGCTGTGTTTTGTATTGTGTATCATAATGCCTAATGCAGATGTATTGCCCAGAATCATAAGACTGTTTTTCTCCCCCAGGGAAGTGAAAATTACATTTTGTCTACTGATACCAGATCACAGCTGAAATTTCTTGAAAAGCTGGATCAATTGGAGAAACAGAGGAAGGATCTAGAAGAAAGAGAGATGTTACTAAGAGCAGCCAAGGTAAAGGCACTGTGTGGCTTACAGGAACGTGGCCTGGCAATGTGATCGTAATCGGCTTCATCATTGACTGACAGTCTTACTTTTATTAAGCTTTAGATTTCTCTTGAGAATATCCTAAAACGAAATCACTGATAGGGTGTCTCATAGCCAAGATGGTGTGAGATGATAGCTTTCAATTAATTTAGTCAATGAGTCATAATCTTTGTCTCCCCCACCCCCTCATATTCTGGTGTACCTGATAGCATTCCTGTCCATCTGTCCCTATTCCCTATTTTCGACTCTGAGATACTATTTGGTATATACCAAGGTGAAGTTAACAAAAACAATTTTTAAAAGACAAGATTGTGGTAAAATTAGGAATAATTTGGAGAATATGAAACAAAATATAAGTTGGTGGAAAGGGGTGAGAGGGAGATTAACAGGAGTGACAGGCAGAGCCATAGACCTGTATTGTTCCTTTTAAGTTGTTTTCTAGGACTAGTAATGCCTGAGTACTACATAAAAGTTCAGTTCTACTACAATTTTACATTTTGTACCTCCACAGTTCTTCATAGACATAGTTGGAGCCTCACAAGAAATTGTGAAGGCTGAACACTAGAGTATTGGTTTTTGTTTTGAGGACCTTACTTTTAATTTCTCATGTCCCTGAAAGATTTATTTCTTTTCCTAACTACATACTAATATCTCCTCCCTCCCTCCCTCCCTCCCTCCCTTCCTCTCTCCCTCTCATTGTGTGGCCCTGAATATTCTGGAACTTTTCGTCTATACTAGATTGGCCTTGAACTCACAGAGACCAGCATCCCTCTTCCTTCTGAGTGCTGACATTAAAGGCATGCACCACAACACCCAGCCCACCAACTATTGGTTTAATCCTTTTAGTCTCCTGTGATGAGACAGGATCTATGTACTAATACTAATGTAGCCCAGGCAGCCTTTGAACTCATTATCCTATTACCTTCTCTGAAGTGCTGGGATTTCAAGGGTCAGTCATGATACTTGGCTCTAATTGCTTTTTTCATTTATTTTAAACAATTTTATACTTAAATTATAGTATCAAAACTATACATTTTGTCCCTTTTCTAATATTCCCTCATTTTCTTACGTTTGTTCCATCTCTACTCATTTCCCCATCCATTGTATGCACCTTTTACACACACACACATACACGCGTGCGTGCACACACACACATGCGCACACACTTTAGTCTGTCAGTATGTCAACTCTCCCCTCTACCTTAGTTGAGAGGTTTTTAGTATATTTAAAGTTATATAACTGTCTTGTATCTACAGTTCAGAGAGTCTTTGGAAAGCAGTCCTGAGACATAATGACCCATCACCCTTAAACATTCTAGTGTGTATTTACACAAATCAGGACATTTTGCCATTTCAGGATGCTAGCAGTGTAACACTGTTGTGCGTGGCACAGATTCCTGTTCAACTTTCACCAGCGTTTCGCTTGTTTCTTTTCTTTATGTTCCATTTTTCTTCTTCAGAAATAAGTATTTCATTTAGTAGTTATCGCTTTTCACGTTTCTTCCGGCAATCCCAGTTTTTCTTATCCACTCATTCCCTTAGCACTTTCAGGACCTTACCTTCAACTTACTTTCTATATCATGACCTTCACCAGCATTCATTTGGTATTTCCTTAGGGCCTTATGTAAGTCATGGACTCCTGGCAGTAATACACAGAGGAGGTGATACATTTTTCTGAGCTAATAATCTCAGAAGGCGACCTGATAATCCAGGCATGTAGCTGTCTGCGAGTTCTTTCCATTTTAAATTGACTATCTTCCTTTGTAAGTTTTTAGTTTTTCATGGATTATTTTTATGTTCACAAATTATATCAACATCTTTTCCTCATCTAATTTTCATGCATCAGCCTTAGCAAGTTACTGAATCAGCCACTTCCGTGGGGATTGCCTGATACTGATTATTTATTCCCATTAACTTTCCTTCACATATTAACCCTCTGTTGTATGAAAAGGCTTTCTTTTCTTCCCTGTTCATGAAAATATGAACCTGTGGGTTTCTGTTTAATTCAGCTGTCTATACTACCTTACTCTGAAGATTTCTTTTGATGCTCAGAACACCTCTAGGTGTGAGACCCTTCCACATGGGCACTGGCTTGTCATGCCCCTTCACTCACTGAGCATGTCCTACTTTCTGCCATTAAGATAATCCAGGGCCGCCGGGTGGCGGTGGTGCACACCTTTAATCCTAGCACTCGGGAGGCAGAGCCAGGGCATCTCTGTGAGTTTGAGGCCAGCCTGGTCTACAGAGCAAAATCCAGGACAGGCACCAAAACTACACGGAGAAACCCTGTCTTGAAAAACCAAAAAAAAAAAAAAAAAAAAAAAAAAAAGATAATCCAGGGCTAACTTTTACTCTTCCTGCCTCCATCTTGGAATCGGCCATTTCTATAGGGAATTCTGCTCCTTTTTACTTACAGATGATGTTCAGAAACCAGTTTTAGAGCACACACTGTACTGTGTTCATTGCTCAGCAGTGTCATTACCTATAGGATACATTAGTGGATGGCTCTAGGAAATACTTGTATGGTGTGTGTATACTTACTCATACACAAATGTCTACCCTGTCTTCTGTATCTCTTTGTATTACAGTACCATGAGTTCTGTGGACACCTCTAACTTTAGTCCTGTACCTCCTTCCTTGTCCCTATAACCTGTCTACTTCATAAAACCTTTCTCCTGCTTGAGACAAGGCTCAGGGAGCAAGAGCACTTGCTGCCAAGCCTGATCATGTGGTGATACTTTGTTGTACTCTAACAAATACAATTTGTCTGAAGGTCAGAGGACGGAGCCAGCCACTAGATTAAACATAGAGGCCAGGCAGTGGGGGCACACACCTTTAGTCCCTGCACTAAGAAGGTTGAGACAGGAAGTGATAAAGCTGGGCAGAGAAAGGCATATAAGGCAGGAGCAGACAGGAACTCAGGGCCTTTCAGCTGAGGACTCAGAGGCATTTAGTCTGAGGATTCGTGGAGACAGGATCTTCCCCTTTTGGCTGAGGCATTGTTGAGGTGAGAAGTGGCTGTGGCTTGTTTCCTCTGATCTTTCAGCATTTACCTCAATATCTGGCTCCAGGTTTTTATTATAAGATCAATTAGGATCCGTGCAACATGATCACCTGAGTTTGATCCCTGAGTTCTACATGGTAGTAAGAGACCTGACTCCTATAGTTGTTTTCTGACCTGTATACTTGTTCAGAGGTCTTCATGCATGTGCATATTCACTCACTCATTCATTCATTCATTCATTCATTCATTCATTCATTCATTCATATTCTTTGCCTCACTTCCTCCTTTCAAATAATTGCAGAATTTTTTTCTCCAGGTGTCAGAAAGTTGGCTTTCACTATTATCCTTAGCATACTTAGTTTATGTCCTTAGTCAGTGTATATATTTGATCAGTGAGATTTGTGTCCCCAGCTTGACTCATTGACCCTTGACTACTATCTCCTTCATGCCTTTTTTTTTTGCCATGCTCCTTACCATTTTGACTGGCCTGTGTCTCACTGAGACGTCCCAAACCTCCACAAGGATGTGGGCATCATTGTCACTGCCCTGCTGTCTCAGCTCCAAACTGACCCCTGTGCTGAGAAGGGCAGGGAGATGAGACAGGAAGATACTCTTTCTTGAACTTGAAATATTATATGCAAGTACTCAACTATTACAACAAGGTAGTTTACTGGTTCTATTTCTAAATGCAATAAATAAGGTTATAAAACTATTAAGTGCTATTCTGGTTATTATTTATATAAGATATACTGGTTCTTAGTCCCTTTGGGTTTTCTTCCTTTTTGAGATAGAGTACTAAATATTGGGATACCCTGGGTTTCAGTCTTATGCCTTATATGTCTTTGTGCTCTCCTAAGATTATATTTCCAGCTCTGTCAACATTCTGAAACCTTTGGCATGTACAGTTTACTGCTTGTTTGGTATCATTTTCTGGCTAATAGGACTCTCAAATTGTATATGTCCAAACAGACTTCTGATTTTTCTGTCCTTTAATATGGCTTTTTCTAACTCAGTCAGTGATGCCCTCATTTACCTCAGTGTCATCTTCGCTCCTTCCCCGTGCCCATGCCCAGTGTACTCTCCCTCTAGTCTACAGTGTCCACCCTCTCTTCACTGCACCGCCACCACTCTGTCCCAAGGCACCTTTTCCTTCAATTTTTATATGTTCTAACTGATCCTTTTCCTTCTATATCCACTCATCAGAATGGGCTTCATAATAAGAATGCATGGCCTTGCAGGGTGTGGTAGCTCATGCCTGAAATCCCAGCAGTTGGGAGGCAGAGGCAAGAGGATCTCTTTGAGTTCAAGATCTGCCTGGTCTATACAGTGAGCTCCAGGACAGCCAGGACTACAGGACAGACTGGGTCTCAAAGCAAAACAAAGCTTAGCTTTTAGTGATTTCCTGTTGGCTGTACTCCCCCACACTTCTTACAGGACTTCACAAACGCCTTGCATTGTCTAGTACCTGGCTCCCTCTTTGAGTTTGCCTCATGACACTCCTTCACTCAGTCCACTTCGCATACTCAGGCATCTGTTTCAAGTTGTGTCCACCTTAGGGCATTCAGCCTTTGATTGGCGTCTGAAACTGACAGTTGAAGAGCTTCTCCCTCATTGTGTACTCTTGATTAGAGCTCTGCCTACAGAAAGTTGGAATTCCTCTAGGTGGCTTAGGCCTGAATCCAGATATCACTGTTTCCCCTTCAGTTTGGACCTTGTATCGTCTACCACAAATCTGGTTGACTTGGCTTGCAAAGTGGGATCCGAATCTGTGTGTCATTGTCATCATTGCAGTGCTGCTGTCCTAGACTGCTGTCGTCGTTTTCTCCGTCACCCTCTTCATAGCAGTTGTTTGAGAATAGTTTCTGCCTCTTATGGGCGCTGTGCCTTCGGTCGTACATCTGTGCAGTAAACCCTGCATGTCTGATGGAGGCGTTCTAAGGACTGCTCCAGGGTGCTCTCACTCTCGGGCTCTGCAGTAGTCTTCCTCCAGCGCCGACTGTTGGACTGCACTTAACCCTTGTACGTCTTCAGATGCCTACAAGGCAACACAGCCTCCTTCTCCCCTTCCTATTTTCTGTGTGCTTCAAACACGTGGTCATTCTCTGTTCTCAGGCTTGCTATCCTTTTAAGGCTTTGGTGTTTACTGTGTCTTCTGTGTGAATGTGATTGTCTATTTCTTGTTATTCAGACTTCTACTCAAATGTTATTCATCAGAGATAGATGTCTAACCCACTACCTAGCTAGAGAAGTATCTACCATATTCCTCATGCTCATTTTTATTACATTTTGTTTTATTTATAGCTTGTATAGGTATAGTAGTATTAGTTTATTAAGTGCTATAAAGGACCTAAAACTCTAATAACATTATTAGAGTGTGTTTCCTACTTGTATTTTTAGAAATTACTCTTTTTAAGAGATTTGATTCAAGGCTAGTTGAGTTCTTGATTTTAATAGCTGTTGAAATAACATATGCTTTTCCAAAATGGCTTCACATAAAGATGAGCCAGTATTGTTTGTTTAAATTCATTTGAGCCCACACTTCTTTTCTCTTTCTTCTGTTCAGGCCAGTTTTCATTTTGCCGTGTTCCAGCAAGAACAATGTCATGCCTTGACTGGACCTGACTGACATTGTTAGCATCATTTTCAGTTGTGTCTCCTCCAGGCTAGAACTGCAGCAGCCGGCCCAGATGAGGAGGAGGAGGAGGGGCCAGGGCTGGAGTGCAGCTAGACTGGATGGAGGCATTGCCCCTGGAGCTAGGGTTTTCAATCACAAGAGAAATCTTCATTTATTAAATATTTAACAGCAATGCTAGTGTTTAGATGATTTCTATTAAAATTTTCTTTTCCTTTGACAGAGCCGTTCCAATAAAGAAGATCCAGAGCAGCTGAGATTAAAGCAGAAAGCCAAAGAGGTAGGTAGGACTTTCAAGTTACCGTTGTGGTCATGTGTTTGAGGGAAGGTTGGCAGCCTCTCTCTTGGCAATTAGGTCAGGGTTTATTTTACTGTTGCATACCATTTGCAAAAGCCTTGGGGAAGGACAGGAACTGCTGAAGGCAAGGGCAGGACTTCAAATGAGGTCAGGGAGCTGTGTGCTCTCCTTTTAAAATTTATTTTCAAGGCTTAGGCCTGTCTGGAAATGGCTCTTTGTAAACTGCAACCATATACTTGGAGGAATATAGTGTGGGATTAAAAGAAAGAAAGAAAGAAAGAAACTTTGAGATTTAGCATCTGGGACTGTACAATAGGCTACATTTTTCCAGGGTAATTGTTCGTTTTGTAAATCTGATACTGCTTATAATTCTTTGGCTGGGAGGCGGTACTGGGATTTAGTTTTAAATGGAAAATGCCTCTGGCTTTTAATTTTCTGGGCCCAGCAGTTTTCTGTTCTGGAATGGAGCCCTTGTTTCACACAGTTCATGTTTAGCTGCAGGGGTTTTAGTTTATAGCTTAGACTGGTTAAGCTTTTACTCCCAGAGGCCTCTGCATAGCAACTGTAGAAATCAACAAATAAGTTCATTTATGTCTGCAGCCTCCTCTCAGTAGCTGACTTTTTACATTTCCCAATATCCATTTCCTGACTTCTCTAGCCTCAGAGAAAAAAGCTCCACTAATTGGAGCTTATTTTAATTGAGCCTTAATATTGGATCTCACTGGAGTTACCCCCAGAGCTACTGAGAACAGAATGAAATGAAAGTACCTAAGGTTGAAGGGGTGCATGCATGTGACTGTGTGTGTGTGTGTGTGTGTGTGTGTGTGTGTGTGTGTGTGTGTGTGTGTAAGTGTGTAAGAGAAAGAGAATTTTCACTTGATCTACGGATTCTTTTCCCTCCTGAATAAATCATCTAGCCTGTTCACATTCCTGCTTAAGGATCTGACAGCAGACGATAATAAAGACAATTGAGGTGTGAGATGTGTGATATGGAGCTGAAGAAATCGGTTTCTATAGTTACTTGACTGATTCCATGCAATTTTTAAGCATCTTTGTGCTAAATAAGAGTGATTTCCTGAGCGACTTTTTCTTTCACTGTGCCTCTTAAACTATGGAATCTGTTGTCCTCAGCACTGTTGTGCTCCATGTCTGGGTACCAGCAGTAGCAGGTTATTTATTAATGTTCTAAAGACTCTTATTGTTTGCATTAATGTATGAGCTGAAACAAAACACACGGAAATCTAGTAAGATGCTTAGCCCCAAAGTGTTGTATTTTCTTTAACATAGAAAAAGAAAATACTCTGCGTAGAGGGGTATATAAGGATCAGGGCAAGCACATTGAAATGTTAGAAGCAGTCATTTTAAACAAAATGTTCTTTATTCTAATTTCCTTCCATTGGATATTTATTTAACACTGTTAACCTGAGAACTGTGTCTAGCATTCTTTTTAAACAAACCTAGATTAGTGATAGGTGTTTGGAGCTGTGCCTCTTGTCATTGCGGAATGCTGGGTATCTCTTCTTTAATTAAGGACTGATTGGATGCTTATATCTTTCTTTGAATGGTTTCTCCTTTTGGAAAGTTAATTATCTTACCATGGGTGTTGTTGCTTCATAAACGTGGGTACTTAGATTCTTTTTCCCTTTAGCTTTGAAGGAGATGGTTTTATTTGTTTCATATTGTTTGGTATTTTGTTTATTCCATGAAGTCAAAAGGTAGACAGCAGTCTAAACAATACCGTGGAGTAGGGTGTGGTTTCTTTTACTGAGATGATTGATAGCAAACCTGCTTTTTTTCTGTCCTTTGCACCTCTATATGTAGTATTCTTTTTTAAGCAAGGTTAAAAGAAATTATAACTTCCTTCCAAACTGTTTTTGAAGTCTTTTAGTTGTTTTTTACTCTAAGTCCTCTATGATCAAAAAGGAACCAAATGTATTGTCCTGGGTCCAAGAAGAGAGCCATTCTGTGTTGTTTATTGGTTGCAAAGTGGTTGTTAGTTTGAAATTTAAATATTGTCATTTTTGTCTTCTTTCTGTCCTATAGAGATGTGAGTAACTTACTCTAAGTAGCTCTCTTTCAGAGTCACACACGGGTTACTGTATTTTGAATATAAAAATATTATCCCTGCCTTACTATGGAGTTGAAGTATTCTGAACTATAATAATTTATGAATTTATGAACTTGTAGAAGTTGTAATTTGTAATACTGTGGTTTTTTTTCTTTTGGTATAAACTAGGAAGTTTTCTTGGTTTAATTGGGAAGATTAGTGCTGTTTTGTAGTGGTTGCTTTATTAAAACAGCTTTGTTTCCTTTTACAAACTGGTCACAGGAAAAGTGGGCTAACGACAGAAGTCCCAAAGAACTGCTTAGAGAAGTTGTAGGCTTTGTTTACGCTTGGAGATATGTCAGCAGGGGTGTTCATCATGATTCAGATCATGCCTGAATCTGAAGTTTGAATTGTTAATGACTACAGTTTTGATATTGATAGTTCTCCTACGGTTTTTCATTGTTTTGTTTTTTCAAAAATAGTTTTAGAAACTTTATTTTTTCATGTTCAGTGTATATAGACAGTCTGTTAAATTGGCAGGTTTTTATGAAGGTGTCTCTTCAGATGTTGCCATTCCTATCTGGCTGCCTTTGGTTTGCCTTCAGCCTAGTCTCAGTCCATAGCAGTGTCTCCTGCCGCATACTGTTGACGTTGACCGACAGGTCATCCATTTGGAAGCCTTATTGCTGCCTGGCAGATGTCTGGGGCCATCCCTCTAATTCAGACGTTTTATTGTCATTTCCCATTTTCAGTGCGGTCTTTGTTGTTGTTACTATTTTTTGTTTTTTCTCTCTATAAAAACAATTTCATTCTTTCTGTCTTCAAACTTTAAATTTTAATACCTAAAGTTTTCACAGCTGCAATTTAGGGGTAAATAGATACTTTTTCTAAATGTGAATAGTGATATTCTTCCATTTTACTCTCTATTTGTGAAGCTTTAAAGTACATTACTGGTTGCCAAATACTAATTCTAAATAAGGAGGCATAGTACAGCTGCAGACTTGTCTGAAATGTGCGCTGTGCATTGTAGAACATCATCTTTCTTACCCTCAGTGTTTCTTCTTAGTCCATCACCCCAAATGCTTCAGAGCAAGCCAACAGACTTTGAAGTTGAAGCATTCTGGTTTCTTAAAGAGTTTTAAAAATAAGTTTTTATGTCCTTATATCCATTTGGATTTCTTTTTTCTCATTTGAGAAATGTGAGTTTAGTGGATCTGTGCAGAATGAAGCAAAGAATCCATTCATTTACTTTTTAACACTTCAAGGCATTCTTGCTTTCATTTTTATATCAGACAATAAAGGGAAGAAAAGGACTACAGTAATGTATATGCTGGCACATTGATTTTGCATAGCAACCTGTGTGGGATTAAAATGCAGAACAGATTAGAAACATACTCTGAAATAGGATTTTTTTTCCTAAATAGATTATGGACTGAAAACTCAGGGTACTCGTTATAGGCCATTATTGTGTGATTAATAGAGTTTTGCATATAAAGCCTCATTTCTGAATAGAAAGTATAAGAAAGGCAGTACAGAATTTGTTGGTTTGGTCTTTTGCTGTTACAATTTATTATTTTTTTTAATTTTTATTTTTTGAGATAAGTTCTCACTATTTAGCCCTGGCTACCTTGGTACACTCTGTATGCATTAAGACTGGCCTGGAATTTATAGATATCCTCCTGCATCTGCCTCCCAAATTCTAGGAATAAAGGTGTGTACCACTACACCTGGGAGGACATTGTTTTGTTTTGTTCTGTTTGTTTGAGAGAGTTCCCCTTATGTAGCTCTGGAACTTTCTGTGTAGACCAGGTTGGCCTCAAACCCACAGAGATCCACTTGCCTCTACTTCCTGAGTGCTAGGATTAAAGGTGTGTGATACCATACCCAGTTTTTATATGAGACAGGTCAGCCTAGAATTCAGAATAATCCTGCCTCAGCCTCCCAAGTGCTGAGATTTTAAAAATAAACCTCTATGCCCAGCACTGACATATTTTTAAATAGGAATTTAAAAGATATGAAACAATAAAACATGATACTTAAAGATTACTGTTTAATTGTAGTATTTTATGTTTAATGCTAGCTTTGCATATGCCAAAGGACTTGTGGAATATTGATCAAGGCAATCAAATTTTTCATTAAAAGTATATTATAAAGATATATTATGTTACAGAAATCAAAATAATATATTATGAAGACATTCTTAAAATGACAAATTATAAAGGACTTGTGTATGCCATCGCAAAGAAAGAGATTATTCAAAGCACTGACAGTCTCAGAATGTGGTTTTTAAAGTCTAGTGTGTATGAAAATTTCTGGAGTGTTTGTACATGTTGCTGGTTTCTGGATAAAGAAGTTTATGATAGAGTAGGTGCAGGGCAGGACCTGGAAGTGTGCATTTCTGGAGTTTCCTGTGTTGCTGCTGCTATTCAGCATAGAATCATTGATCTAGGAAGAGAAGAAGGATGTTTTAAAATTTATTACTTTCATATTCCCTTTTGAAGGTATAACATTGTGATCTGGGAATCTGAGATGTGGAATCTTGAACTGGCAGTATTAGATTATCATCCAATGATCCTTCAGTAAATTTCTCTGGGGACCAGGAAAGCCAGCACACAATTTTTCAAGTGATCTTTTTGCAGAAGATCTTTACTGAGAGTCGAGATTCACCAGAAGAATTCACAAATTCTTAATTTTGAGATGTAGGACTGTGTAACTTAGACATAGTGGTCTCTTGTTGGAAGAGGTAGGTGCATTTCATAAAAGAAGTAGCTGTAAGATGGAAGTCAGGAGTTTCAAATTCCTTATTCAGCCTTCTGTGTATCTAGTGCTTACTGTTGGTATGTTACTTTACTTTGAACTTACCTTGTTCTTTGTAGCTAAATGTAGCATAAGTGTGTTGCTTGTAACAGGCAGTCATAATTACGGAAAAGATGGG